TTTGATCATTCCGAAGCACTGCAAGAGTGATCTCTCTGGCAAGATGAAACTGCTGATTATCAGGCAACTTATGAAAATGAGCGATCGTCAGTTGTCGATCAATAGGTGGAAGGCCCTGACAGTCCTTACAAGTGATCAATCTGTCAGCAATGAGGCTCATGCAAGCTTGCTCTGCCCAAAAATGTATTCGATCCCAGTTGGCCTGGAGCAAATGAAGTTGCACAGAGGCCTGTGTGTGGATCATGCCTGAGTCATCACTCGTCCATGACAGTTTCCTGTCGCTCAAATCTTCTTTGCACAAACCCTTGCAGCAGCACACGTCGTTGATGAGGATCCGCAGCTGGGATGGTGATCTTTTCAAGTGTCTTGCTGATGTCATCTTGCAACTTACCAACTATCACAAGACCCAATGGATCCGGCGAGATCGGCTTTGTGATGGCGGCTAACCATTGTCGAACTTGTGAAGCTGAAGCAAGCTGGGCTCCTGTGAGATCATGCCCCAGTGCTGGGATGGATGGGAGCTCTTTTCCAGCGCGGTCAACAAAATACAACCCGGGACCAGTGTATACCCAGCGACATCCAGGTCTTGACGCTGATCTGCTTTTCGCCGTTTGGCAATCGCTGCTGGAGTGGCAATATTCAATCCCAACTTGGAGTACATCTGTCGAAGAGCATTTGTCCTTTCAGGTTCAACTTGCGAAAAGATCAAATGCGTCAACCTTGGAAGCTGGTATTCATTCATAAGAGTTTGAATGGCCGTGGGGACCTGCTCCAACTCTACTCCATCAGCAATGAGCATTTTGGCAAGATTGGATCGAACCGCCTGTTCATGTTCTCGTTTGGATCAAAATCCACCTCCACTGATGGGCATCGCAACATGTGCTCGGGTTGGTGCTTGGGGGTCTTTGTCTCTGCCCCTTTTTTGGGCGTCCGAAAAGGTGGCAGCGTGCGACCATCTTTGACCTCCTGAGATCGGCGACGGTCCTGCGTCTTCAAAATTTCTAGGGTAGGCAAAAGCATGCTTGAGGGCTACTAACGGAAACGTCCAAATGTCCCAAATTTGAGATTCAGTTCCTCTCAGTGAAACGGTCCAATCTCAATTCCTGTTTGTTCAAGTGCATCAAGGAACATGAGGGTCTCCGTGGGCGCAATCTCAGTCATCGGGGAGGTGTTGATATAGGCCGGCGCATGGAATTCCTTGCTATTGGGAATCTCCCCAAACATGTCAAACCAGCACGGCGATTCTTGAAGAGGCTTTGAGCCACAGTTTCCATCTTGCTCGGGAGCAAGCATGATGTTTTGGCCCTCTCGAGGATTTGTCTGGGGCCAACTTGCCATTGGCGAGACCAGTTCCAGCGGCGAGTCTGTCGAAAAGTCACTGGGAGGGGTGGGCGATCCCCAGGTTCAGGCCTCGTACTGCCAGTCAGAACTTGCGGCGCAAATCGGAAGTCCCACAACTGCAAAAGGGAAAGGATTGATGCGCCCCTTTCCAAATAAAATCTTGCTTGATCATATTCTTGAGTTTTCAACCAGAGCTCACACGGGGGTGGGGGGTCCGCCATCCACTCAACGGAATGATCAGTCACATCCGCAGAATCTCAACACTCGAACGGCTGCGTGGGTTCAACAAAAACTGCACCTTCCAAAAGATTCCATCCCTGCATTGGATCCCAAAAACGGCCCTCCCACAGAAAGTTGGGTCCCATTTTCTTGGCACGTGCAATCAAGGTCCCATCCGAGCTGTTGCGCACTGTTGCGCTGCAAAACCGTAATCCATTCCAGACACACCTGATTCACCGAGCACAAACCCGATGTTCCTCAAACAGCTGGAACAAAGTCTTGACCGATCCTGTGGGAAGGTGCGTGGTGTATACCATCAAGTTGCCAAGGAGCACCAGCGCGTGCTGAACACTAGTGGAATTGCCAACAACCTTCCAGCCTTGTGGGTCTGGATGCGCAAACCACACATCATGCGCTTGTCCATGTAAAAGTGCAATCTGCGCAGGCTTCCAGAATCGGTATGTGCCAGGGTCAGGACAAAAAATTCTCAGCAATCCCTTGTCTTGCAAGTAGCTCAAACTCAATTCATGTTGAGTTCCATACATTGCCATGAAGGTTGGCTGAACAGCTTGGAGCCCTGGAAGTGACATTTCGAGCTGCTTTCGATTGTCGTTGAGCAGGAGGCAGCAAGGAAACATCCATATACATGGCCTTAGTGCGCAGCGAGGGTGCAAACCGGATCATTTCATCATAAGCGCACGAAAGGAATGCTCCATGTTGGAATGGAGATGTTGGCAGGGTTACATTCCAGTGTTCGAACTTTAATGCTTGATCTTTATATAGGACTCTTCACGAATGGCAATGGCTAACCATCTTGATCTTCTACAAGGCGTGACATCAGTGAGGCGGTGCACTCCCGCATGTAAGACCCTGTACCCACAACAACGCAACACTTCAATCACCTGAGCACAATCTGGACGTTGCCATGGCCAAGACCTGTACGATCAGTGATCAAGATCTCACCAGCCTCATATGAAGAGGGGTCACCAACATCGAGCGCTCGATAAAAAATCCTGTGCGGGATCTGCCATCCTCGCAGTTGAGGTCCGGCTTGTGGTTGAGGTCCGGCGGGGAACACTGCCATCCGGAGCTGGCGGTTGAGCTAGGTCCGGCTATCCGGAGCTCGCCATCAGGGAACACTGCCATCCTATACTTGCGGTTGATGTCCGGCGGAGAACACTGCCATCCGACACTTGCAGGCACGGCAGCTGACATAAAATCTAACAACCCTCATCTGACAGGAGGCAACAATGAACAAAAGCACAAAAGGGAACAGGTCTCACTGGCACACGCAAAAATCACCTCGCTTGCGCACACAAGGTTGGCAGTCGAACCCGCCTATTTAGTTATTAAGTGCCCATGTCCAAAACCTCACTTGGGCGTGCAAAATTTAACTCACTTTCGCGCGCGCATGCCTCACTTGCAGACGCAACGGCTCGCTTTCACACTCAGGCATGTTGCTACATTGGAGTGGCTCGTTCCTCGTCTATTTTTACCCTCTGGTGGCTCACAAAGGGCCTGCGCCGTTGAAATGACACCCTCCTCCTCCAAATATTGCCCTCGAAATGCTCAGACGAGGTCCGCCCTCCGGTTGCTGACAAAAGGTCTGCACCGTTGGAATGGCAAGTTCTGGAGCCAGTTCCGGAACAAGTTTGTCAGTCTGTTTTGCTGCTATATTGTCATGCTGGCATTTGAGAGAGCGCGCAGGCGCACCCTCCTCAAAAGGCTTTTCGTGGAACTTACACTTGCGCAAGCGAGGCTTTTTCCGCGCGCGCAAGCGAGGCGATTTCTGCGTGCACAAGCGAGTGCTATGCCGCAGAAAAGCAGAATACAAAAAATAAAAAACATAAATTGAAAACAACAAATATCAAGAATTAGCATCGTCACGTGCACTATTATAGAAGATAACACTTTTTTGTAAATAGAAGATCTCATTTTTCTATAAACCGGAAGGTTTCAAATAGAAGGGCATTTCCGGGCGTATGCAAACAGAAGGTCATTAAAAAGGCACAAATTAAATAGAAAAAACGTGAAGAGTAGATGCTGACTTTCCTCTTCAATGTCCTTTTAATTTCCTTTTGATCCCTTTTGATTTCCTTTTGACGTCCTTTTGATTCTCTTTGCTTTCCCTTTGATTCCTTTTGGTTTCCTCTTGGCCCTCAGTCGCTGAGCTTACCACGTGATACACCTTTTTCCATTTCAGCACCGTCAGCTCCAAATAGAATAAACTGCAGGACCCCTGCAATTAATTTGTGCATCAAAACACTCATAAACAATATATGGTGGTTGATCAATATTCTTTCATCCTGGAATGGCCGTTCATCGCGGAAAAAAAGATATCTTTCGTGGCCTCATCGCGAAGCATGGTCCTACAACCATGTCTAGCTAACATGAGCCGGAACATGTCATAGTATCACAAAATAGGGAGAGACATCTTGCAGCATGACCCCGGTAGATGGTTGAACGTTTCCACCGCTACTCAGGGTCACTTGCAGCATCTGTGCGACAATTGTGCCAAATAGAGTCAGGCACAACTCAACCCAATCCTCGTGTCAGCTACCAACACAGGGCGATGCAGCTTGGGGAATGTTGGGGGGCCTCAAGCTGGGAACCTAGACTTTAGCGGCACATTCGCGAAACTTTCGCGGATCTTTCGCGAAATTTCACTGGTGCTTTTCCCGGGAAGCCGTAAAATTTGCAAACATCTGCACAGAGCTGCAGGTCGTTGCCTCACTGTCAGGGCTGCGCCTATACCCAGATTGCTAATCTGTGACAGTGGGGACAGGAATCGGAGAATCCTTTACGCGCTGCCAGGGCTGGGCACGGAAATGTTGAGGCTTCAGTTCGTTAGTCTGTGACATATGGGGAGACTTCCGCCCACTGGCTCTGCCGCAGGACTGCCTTGCGTTTCTATTCTTTGTCAGTCCGGTAGAAAGGAAAACAATGAAAGCGATGAACTTCGATAAATCTTTTGCGGAAAAAATATACTTTCGCAAACCTCATCGCGAATCTTTCGCGGATGGTTCTAACATCTGAAAGGCTGTTTTATATAAAACTCCTTACACGGGGTTTTCGATCAACTCCCATATCTTCTAGTTGCCCCCGGCCGGTGCAAATGGAATATAGACCTAGGATGACCTAGGTACATTTCTTCTATAATAGTGCACGGTAGTATAATAGTGAACTAAAGAAATACCCACCTATAGGATACAGTAGTAGTACCTGAGAATTTGATGTGTCTTTCACTCACAGTGTTTTTGTGTGTGTGTGCGCATGTGTATTGAGACATCCGTTGACAAGCCATGATAGTGTTCGGCATGGTCAGAGTTCTCATCCACAAAGTCTGAGCTCGAAAAAATGAAATGGCAAAAAAGCATGGCCCCCATCTTTTGATAAGTGGAATTTGTGCTCCAATCTCTTGAGTCAATAAGGCACCGCACTTGATGGTCAAAAAGATTGAAGTGTCGTTTTGAGCCCACTGAAAGGCCGGGGACACCTGGCATCGTCAGCTGAAAGGCGCCACAGGGCCAGGGGTTCTTCAAATAGACATGATGCCATAGCGCCTGCTGCGCCATCCCGTAATTTGGATTCAGTGTTCTCAGCAGCTCATCCGCCTCGTCCTTCCACATATCAAAAGGTTTCAAACCCAAATGGCTCAGGTCAAAAGTGGTCGAGACATGTGGAGACAAGAAACGCCTATTATGAGGCTCGCAAGCCAATTGAAGCAGAGTCCTTGAGACTTCGGACAGCTTTTCTGACCGAGAAGGAGAGGTCCACCTTCCCAAACAAAGTGCCAGGCGAAGGAGACCGACGTTCTTGCACGAAACGAAACCAGCGCACCTTTTGCTCGTGGGACTTGGAGACCAACTCCCGAGCAAGAGTCCACCTCACAACTGCAAGCAAGGTGAGTGTGTAATTCAAGTGTTGACCACGAGACCCTGAATCATGGCCCTTTTTCTCCAGTTCCTCACAAAAAACGTGAAAGGGCACCAGTCTCGTCTAAGTCTACATCGTCTAAGTGCAATCAGTACCTGAAGAGTGGAACCCCACTGAGGTCCAACCATTGTCGCATCACCACCAGCTCTACAACCTCCAAAAAAGAGTCTGTTGACGAGAATGCCAGCAGGAACCACATGTGCACTCAGTCGATCGATGTCGAGAGCCTCTTTTTCCAAAGTTTTCATGTCTTTGAGATGGGGCCCCAGAATTGAGCGGGCCTCAGACATTCGGAGATGCCATCCGTTCTCACAAAAACGGGGAGCATGGTCCATGGTTTACCAATTTGATTAAACTGTGGCTTGCTACGCGCATTTAAGGTTTACTGAGCAACGCAACTGAATCTGACAGGCTATGTAAAATGATGTAAAGTGCAAGCAAGACGCTTCATCTTCGGCCGGCGCATTTTCTAGGGCCTGGAACAAACAACAAAGATCACTTGTCTGAGCATACTCTGCACTCGGTGAGATGCAACTGAGTGAGAACTGAAAAGGAAGATCAAGTTGAAGTGAGCCTCCTCGCTTGGGTGGTGCCATGTCAATCAATCTCTCAGCCAGCCTGAATAAGTGGGGAGCGCGATCCTTTGACAGCCTGGCACATCATCACGACTCTGATCGCGATCCAAAATTGAGTCGCCATCTGTGGAAAGAGGCGTTGCATTTGGAACAAATATCACCAACATCAGCCTCAACACTCAACGTCAATAACTGAGGCTCTTGCATGACTTTCTACACTAGGCTGAGAAGTTGGCCGTACGTTCAAAAGGCATGATGGGCTCACTGTAACGTTTTCAAAAACGCTTCTGAACCAAATGTGGTGGTCTTACTCAAGTAGAACCAGCAACATAGGATGTCACGGATTTTCGCGGATTTGAGGCTGTGGCTATCGGCTATCGCCTAAAACCAGATTTTGTCTGACACTAAGAGGCGCTAGGGGCCGGGGAGCACCATGCTAGCGTGCAGCTAGGAAATCGGGATTTCTGTCGCCGCGAAAACAGCTTAAAGCAACTTGATGTCGGCTTTTGATTGAAAAAGTCAGCGAATCCTTTTTGACAGCAAGAAGATTGGAGCGGCATGTTTTCACGTGAGGAACCTTGCATCACGAAAGTATTGATGGAACACTCGAACATCTCGCACTGATCTACGCGACACTATAACCCCGTGTGTGTTTCGTTGCATGTGTTCTTGCCTGCTGCCTCATATACCGCTTTTGAACCAGTTATGTAAACACGGCTAAGTGCTGAGTGCAGACTTTTCAAACGCAAGTCTCTGCCACCAAGAAGCCTGCATGTGTGAAGAGTTATACACCAAACACACTTGTCCCAAACAATGTATTTTCCTGTTGCTAAGCCGCACATCACCCAGTTCAATTCAAGTTTTGTAGACAGGTGTTGTGCAGCACCACATGGGCCTTTTTCTAATGACAATAAAATACACTTCAATTTGACTTCTATCAGTTGTTGATCCAAGTTGAAAGGAAGTGTGCGCCACTGTGCTTGAGGGTGGCCAGCTGCGTTCTTTGGACCCACAAAAGGTGTGTCTGTGTGAAGGTCAGAATTCGACGTGCGACCGACTCGCTGCACCTGGGCCACAGCGGAGGCCAGCAAGGCTGCTCCGAGCAGTGCCCGGAGCATGGCGCTTGCCTTCAAAAAGCTTGGGGTTGCGATGACACACTAAAACATGGTTAACATGCCCCCACACAGCCGCGTGTTTGGGACTTGCTTTGTCAAAAAAACATGTGTTTTTGTTAGAATTGAAAAAGGTCATTTGAGACCAAGGACGGACCGTTTGTTCGATGAGCTTCAAGAAAGGAAACCACCTTTTTCAAACTGTGTGTGCATGATAATCGAAAGCATGTGTGCATGTGGTATCATCTTCCAAGCATATCCAACCGAACGTATATAATTACCCCGCAACCCCACCCCCCATCTTCCAAAGCGTCTGTGGGTGTGGCATCATCTTCCAAACATATCCAACACACTACCACCGACGGGTGCAAAAAATCCAAAACACCAGGGAATGCCGGTCCAAACACACAAAAAGAGACTGTGAACAAGTGTGAAGAAGAAAGAGGTTGCCCTGGTTCAACATAGCAAAACGATGTTATTTATAAGTGAAAGAGTAAAGGTGCCAACTTTCATGCCTAGTGGAAAGACATCGGACAAGCTTTGTGGCTTGATAAAAGGGGCACGACTACTAGCGGAGTTGTCAACCCGCTAGCATTGAAATGCATATCATTTCCATTCATTTCCCCCCAGTGGCCCTGCGGAAATCAGAAAACACCCCGAATACCACACAAAATTGGAAGCAATTGCTCAATACTGGCGCTAGGTTCAAGACCAGAACGGTGGTGGCACAAATCCGACACTCCCTGTCTACAAATGCAAGAAATCTGACAACTTTATAAGCTGTCAAAACATCCAGCATATCATCACGGTGTTGTTTGTCCCGCACACAAAAACTTGCGCATATTGAGCATTTCTGAATAAGGATAGAGTATCTGTTGCCCGAAGGCCTTGAGCCCGTACAAAGCACCTGTTGAAATGAAACTCTTTGGCACCTTATCTCACGGCTGTCGAGTCTGAGAGATATTTGTAGCTACCTTGCAGTTCTGCAAATATTCGTGGAAGGTACGCAAGAGTTGGAAATTTAAAAAGAAAAAACACACACATATCCATGTGATTCCGTGTGCATGTGCTAAAAACACCTAAAAACCTGCAGATCTGTAGCAACACGTGCTTGATACTGGTCAAGGAGATATCGTTTTAAGGTTCCCATATCCAGCACATCGCAACTTTTGGTACATGACCAGGCATAAGTAAACACCCCCACGTAACCGCAGAGCCTGCAGGTTGTACCCGCTCCACCTTTTGATGCACTTGAGCCCGATGGGACGTCCAAAACACGTGACAAAACCCAGTACCCCTCTAAAAAGAACGCCACTGCAGTTGCGTGTCTGCTTCAGGAATGAGGCAACCAAAAGTCAGCGGGCTGGAGGGTGCACAGGAACTCAAAACATGAGATGTGTCTCTGTGTTGCTCTCATCATCATCCTTCCACACATGACTAACCCACTCAATTGATTGATTCGCCATGCTATATCACCGACTCAACCCTCCTTCCAAAGCACGCGGAGGAAGACTGAGGCCCCACCTCCCTACTTACTTAATTAAGTAGGCGCCTACTTATTAAGGAAGGAGGTAAGCTACTAGGCTAAGTTATCTACTACATATGGACGCAGGATGGAGAGGCTCATACGCTCACCAGCAGGCAAATGTTTGTTATGCAGGCCTTTTTTGCAGGGAGGACTCTCTGTCCTGTTGCATTTTGGTAACTTCCAAACATCGCAAATTCAGTCTTAGCGAAGTTTTGAGGCAGAAATGTTTGGCTTGTGTAGGGTAAGGGCACCTCAAGTCTTTGGAAGCTGGGTGTTGCTTCAAAACTTCCCACCAAAAGCTGGCTGCTAGCTTTTTCTCCATCAATCCTCCGTGCTCCGCACGGAACGGAAGTACACTGGCGAATTGGACCTCAGGTTCAGTCGCCGCTATCCTCATTGAAGCACTTGGCGCAAGCAATGATCACAGTCCTGTAAGTAACGAGTTGAGATGTATCCTGCTACTCGGCAATGGGTAATACAAAATGTCCCACTGTCACATGCCCAAAATTTGGCCCGATTGACTGTCAGAGAGAAGCTGTAATTTTCCGTAGGCGTTGAAGCTGGCTAAAAAATGAGTTTTAATACATGACGACATGGTTCCAAGTTGCAGGACATATCCCACACCGTTAGCCACTCGAAGCGCTCTTCTCTTCCATGGTCAGCATGATCAACTGCTGTCCATGCAGATTTAGTAATTGAATGCAGAACATGTGCACTATGGAGAAATGAGAGAGTAAATGCTAATGAAAGGGGCTCTTGCTATATTATCTAGAGTGCTCCCTGATATATGGATGCTAGCTCGTTTGCCTGAAAAATGAATCAGCAAAACGTCGGGACCATGTCCAAGCACTCACAACCGGTCCTTTCGTCTCCTGGGCAAAGGCGAGGGAAGCATCTTTGGAAATTCCACCATGTCACCACTGCGGTGCAAATACAACCAGAAGAAACTTGAAAGAGAATGTCTTAATACATGATATGAGGATTACACCGGTCATATCTAGGAGAAAGGAACTATGTATGTGAGTCTGGTCGACATCATAGGAACATGCCGTGTTGGTCATGTAGGCGAATGTGGTGCTGAAATGAATCCATTTCAATTCTCATATTCGTTGAATAGTACCTGAATCGTTGGGCGAAGGATTTTAATTAAAAAACTGTATTTAAATCTTTCGGGGCAGACGTCATTTTGTATTTTTTAAATGTGCCAAGGTCGGGGCTGACTTTTTTTTCAATGAGATTCTGTCGTATTAAAATCCTCGGGCCGACGTTTTAATATAGTCCTGGGGCCGACGTTTTATTATAGTCCTGGCCCCAACCTACATGATCACATCTGATACTGAATTCATGGGCTTATTTAAATCCTAGTATGGACGTCAAATCCCCACACATGTCCCCCCAAAGTTTGTATTTTTTTCCTTCCGGACAAGAAATGTAGACCACTGGTCCAGGACAAGCGCATGCCATCATCACCCAAAGGAAAGCTGCGAGAAGCCCACCCACACACCCAACAATGCAAGAGAGGTTTGCAGTCATGGCATCACTTTTGATGTCCCCCAAACATGTACAAACCACTTTATCACTGTGTCATGTCTTGTGTGTTCAGGGGCCCGGCTGGTCATTTCCTGGTTGAGTATTGGCCTGGCATTTTTGAGGCACCATGATATGATTATAGAAGGACATGCATGTTCTTAAAAAGCTACGGCCATACACCGAGGTCGGACAATCGAAACGGGTCATCGGGTCCTCGGTCAAAGTCCCAAAATAGTAAGGCCAGGAGCCCCTAGTCGCTTCTTGTTCCCAGTACTCTAGTAATAAGGCCAAGAGCCCCTAGTAGCGTCTTTTGTATTAAAATTAGACCTTGACCCCGTGCAAGCACTCACAGACTGGGAAAACATGCATGACTACATTCCGGATACATGCATTATTAAATTCCGGGCCTGAGCTACCATGTGGTCCTCATTTTTGCTGGTATGTTATTTCAACATGCTTATTAAAATCCTTGTGCCAAGGGTTAATTTTTTGGGGTAGCAAGTTTTGGGATTTTTGGGTGTCGTATTATTTTCCTGGGCGCCAGCGAAAAACAAAAAAACATTCTTATTTTTTCCTGGGGTTGACCCCTAGGATTTTAATATGCACTATTGGAGGGATATATTCTCTAAACACAAAAAAATGAGATTGAAAAAAACGTGTGAGATGACAAGAGATCAGCTGAGACCGAGAGAGAAATGTGGTGAACCCACAGGTGAGTACCAGGCAAACAGAGTAAGTGGAAGGCAAGTTCTTACTCTGTTGGAGCAAATGCTTACTTGGAGCCTGAATCCTGTCTTAGGAAAGCGTCCTCTCTTACTGTATATTTCCCCAAACAGTGTGTGGACACACTTAGGGGTTCTTACGGTAGGAGAAAAGCAGCTGATGCTTCGATCGCTGAAGCGCGCGGCCGTGACCGACAAATTCGCTGCTATTTACAGTACATTCTCTCGACATCGTCAATGCGCATTTCGACTGCGCAGGCTCGCAAAGTCTGGGTGCCCGCGGCGGGCGCTTCTAACGACTGCGCTCTCGTTGTGGTGCCGCGTGCATTTTCGTACATGGTGGTCACTTTTCGTGGCAGGCGCAAGGGAAACACCGTTCTTTCGTGCTTCAAAGTCGACTTTTCGTGACAGGTGCAAGGGATCGGAGCTGCTTTACTTCGAAATGCAGTTTTCGTGACAGGTGCAGCGAATCGTGACTTTTGGACATGTGGCTCGTTTGCAGACTTCGTGGCAGGCACAGCACTTGGTGAACCTTGCAGTGAATCTCGAAGTGCAGAGTTCGTGGCGCGCGCCGCAGTTTGTGAACCTCGAAGTGCAGATTTCGTCGTGGCAGGCGCAGAACTTGGTGAACCCGAAGTGCAGATTTCGTGGCAGGTACAGCACTTGGTGAACCTCGAAGTGCAGATTTCGCGGCAGGCACAGCACTTGGTGAACCTCAGTACTGTAACTTTGTGAACCTCGAAGCGCACATTTCGGCGCAGGCGCAGCACTTTGCGCTCTCAGATGTTCACTCTCTCACTCTCACTCTCAACCTCACTCACACTCACTCTCACCCACACTCACTGTCATCCACACTCACTCTCACTCACACTCACACTCACACTCACTCGCACTCTCACTCACACTCGCACTCTCTCACTCACACTCACTCTCACACTCACTCTCATACTCCCTCTCTCACAATCACACTCTCACCCACACTCTCACTCTCACCCACACTCATTCACCCACCTTCACTCTCACTCACACTCACTCTCACTCTCACTCACACTCACTCTCACACCCACTCTCACCCACACTCACTCACACTCACAATCTCACTCCCACTCACTCACTCTCCCACTCTCACTCTCACCCACTTCCCCACTCAGTCTCACCCACACTCACTCACCCGCCGCCACCGTCACCACGATCCCCACCTTCATCACCACCGTCACCTCTCTCTGGACCCCAGCGCGTCTAGATCTCTAGACTTCTGCTTTTGGACCTCACACACACTTAGGATAGGGTGTACTGAACTGAATGCGGTGCCACACGCCGGCCTAGGGTTCCAATTCCTAAGGGTACAAGTACGAACCACTGGATCCTGGAGGTCTTCAAGAGGAAGTAGGGCCCAAAAGGAAGAAGGCGAGCGGCGAGCCGACAAGATGACGTCGTGGCGCGCACGTCTGCGGCTACCTAAGTATCATGACAAAACATCTGAGCATCGAGGTTCTTGGCTTAGCC